ACCCCGTGGCCGGCGAGCGAGCGCAGCCGGAACGGTGAGCTATGGCGCCACCGTGTGGCCAGCGTGGCCGAGGTCCGGGGCTACGCTGAGATCAGAGTCCTAGTGAGAGCTGGGCTGGCTCACGCCACCCCAGGCCCTAGCACCTGTGGGCGCCCGGTTCGCGCATTTACCGAGCGGCCCCTTTACGTGGTATCACTAGTCTCCTCCATGGCATCTCTTGACTGGGGTCCGGGATTGACAACCCCAGAGATTGGAGCACGCCGCTCCCTAAGCCGCGTCCAGGCCCCACGAACCATATTTGGACATCCTTTAAGTTCAGCTTCACCTGCAGCGGTCCTCTGAAAGCCCATGAGGGCCGTGGCTATGCATGCGCAGGGCAACACCTGAGTAGGCCCAGGCCCAGAAACCCAATACCACGGACCTGCAGTTCACGGGGTGAGAACAGGCTTCTTGGTGCCGGACAGTGGGCTGCAAAGGCAGGACCACGGAGCCAAGGGCCAGAGGCCAAACCCAGTAGTCGCACGAATGCCACTTACCTTTCGCTGACCAGGGCCCTCCTGTCCACCTCCAGGGTCAGGACCTCTTCTCCCAGATGAAGTGAGGTGAGCTAGAGAGAGTTGTTGGGCGCATGGCAGAACCTGACCCAGCTTCAGCTACGGAAGCTGCGAAGCTGCGGGGAGGTGAAGAATGCTAGTCCTTCCCTCCTCCCACAGCCGGAAAGCAGCCCCAGGCTCAGCTAACGCAGGTGCAAAGGAAAAGGCCTTAGAAGCAACACCTGTAACACTGCAACACCTCCTGAAATCTGCCTCCAGAGTTAACTCCTTCATAACCATGGCCATCGGCCCACGGGTAGTAGTTGGACTTTTCCTATTCAATGTGGCCTGGTGGACATGGAAGCCATGAGAACACAGACTTAGGGTGTTAAGCGGAGACAGTTCCATCCTCTAAGACTTCTGGCTCCTGCTGTGGATTTTCCCAGCACCTTTCACGGGCTCAGGACACTGTCAGATCTTAACAGCCGCCTAATTCCTCCACTTAGGGAAGTCTCGGCCTGGGAAGTGACTCAACCTTCTTGCCTTCCTCAGACGTGGTGCTGTGGGTGTGTATGTGGGCCTGCTGCCGCCGACCACTCCTGGACTCCATGGCAGGCTGTGAGAAGACCCCTTCCGGCAACTGAATTTAGGAACTGCACAAATGAAGTGGTCTGAGGGAAGAGCCATTCTTTGGGAAGCATGGCTTCTTCGTCCTTCCCTGCAGGGGTCTCCGTGGGTCGGAGGAGCAGGTGTTTGCATGGGGCTGCAGCTCATGCTGCCAACTGGGTTTGCCCAGCACCAACCACACAGGGCAACTAAACAAGACTCTGGGACACTTTGGGGACAAGCCCCGAGGACAACTGTTAGACTTACGTGGGTAAACAAAACCAAAGCCAAAAGGGAGCCTCTCACTTGCTCTTTGTACAAACCGACTCCTGCCAGTCCTGCAAACTCCAATTAGGCATTGGAGGCTTGGGACGGACATGAGACCACAAGCCCAGTGAGCAAGCAGACGGCTAGATCTGACGTGTTTGGTGGAATAGCCAGGCCAAGATTGTCTTTAGAAACGTGACAGTACTGAACATGCACAGTCACTGAAGTTACCAACCGCCACAGAAAGCCACGCTGAACACACCCTCGGCCCTGCTCACACTGAGCCCAGATGTAAGCTCCTCTTGTGCATCACACCTAGTCCCGTGTCACACAAGCTGTGCTGCCTCGAGCCCCTCACGTGGGGAACATGGTCACTGTGGGTGAGGGATCAAGCCCAACCTCCTCGGAAGCTTCCCTCCAGCCCTGCATAACCGACCCCACATGCCTCGGCCTGTGTCCCACCCTGGAATCTCCAGCACTGGTGATCGAGGAACAAATATGAATATACCTGAAAACTCTTTGTACACCGGGAAGCACGTACCAGTGGTTTATTCCTGATTTTCATCAGGAGTAAAACCCTATTTCAATATTCACTTTAATTCTCCAAGGACAGCTAGAAATGTTCTTTCTTTAATAAAAAAATCCCACACTTTGAAGTCCTAGAGAAAACCAGCAACAGAAGGAAGTGGATCCCCGCACGGGGGCGCTGGAGAGCCAGCATCATCAGGAAAGCTCCAGGCTTCACACCTGACATTGTCAGGAGCCTGCTTAAAAAATAAATTACAAAACGCTGTTTGGGGAAGACAGCTCAACTGCTTTTTTTTTTCCCTCAGGTGCAGCAGGGACCTGGCAGACTACAAATCAGTCCGTGAACTGGCTGCCTTGGGGGCATATTTAGGCATCAGTTCGTTAATCTTCCGGATGTAGTCAGACTTTTCGGCACAGCCTTTGCACGTTTCCCCCCAGTCGTCCAGGATCTTCTTTAGCTCTTTAACTCGGAGCTTCTTCAGGTCCACTGTGCTCAGGTCGATCTGCTTGTCTGGAGGAGAGAGGAGGAGAGTGACCAGTGGGGTGGGGGTGGCCATGGACCCCAGCAGTTCCAGGCTGGATCGCCCTACACGGCCAACCACCCCTTAAATACGCAGTCCTCCTGGGGAGACAATTCCAGACACACGGGTGTGTCAGTGCCCACCGCCCCCAAAAGGGGGAACTGGCCTGGGCCCCTTCACCAGAAAGGCCGGTCTCATGCTGGTAGTGTCTACCACAGACATACAGTATTGCCAGGGACAAGGTGGAAGTCCCACGATCCTCACAGGAGGAACCTCACAGGACTCTGGCTCCCAGTCCTTAAGTGCCTCTTAAAGAGTCATGGTAAACGTCAAGTCACTACAGAATGACAGCTCCAGAGTGACAGGGCAGATGGATCCCCCAACTCCAATTTCCCAACAAGGCCCTGGTCAGGCCCAAGTCAGGAGCTCACTCTCCATGGCCACTCGTTACCGCAGAGAGCCCATGAGCCGAAGGCACCTCTCCAGGGCCGCGCCGAGACAATCAGCCTGACGAGAGTGGGCGAACACGAGCCCGTGGACACTCGTCACAATAAAATGTTGGTGCCGCTTTTCTAGAACAGGACGATTCCTAGCCCTGACTTTCTCTTCTCCACCAGAGACGCACTCGGCAGGGGTTGCTGCAGCGCCCCTGACTCCCAGTTTGCCCCTTGGGACGCTGCACTTCTCGAAATAATAACGGTTGCTGGGCCTTCAGAGCTTGCAGCCAAGACAGGCCTATTAAACCCAAGGGACGTCAGACCACATCCCTGCTCTGCCCCAAGTCTGATGTTCCCAACTCTGCCCAAACAGCCAGATCTTCGCCGACCTGCAAAGCCCCTGGAACCTGCCCAACCACCTGTCATGCCGCTGGCTGCCGCTGCACTGCTTTCCTCGGCCTGGAATGCGCTTCCGTTAGCCGAAGCCTTGGCTACTGCCCCACCTCTTTCACAGTTTGCTGACTTGTCACCTCCTCGAAGAGACCTATTCTGACCCCACGCCCACCGTTTAGCACCGTCTACCATAACTCACTTGCCATGGCTTTAGTTCATCGCCCAGGGAGAAAGTAAACTCCACAGTGCCTGAGCACAGAGGGTGCGGGGTTTGTGAAACGAGGCCTGGCCACTCACCATATTTCAGCTCACAGATCTGGCTGTCCTTCTTCTTGAGTTTCTCGCAGATCTTCTCCACAGGGATGTGGTGGGCCAGGGGCTTCGACACCTCATTGATGATCTTGGTGGCCGCATCGTCTGTGGCCCCAATGTAGTAGCACTGCAGCAAGAAAGAACAATGGCCTTCAGGAGGTGCCACTTGAGAGCTGTCTCCTCCAAAACATACCGACATCTCAAAACATCTCTGCGGGGCCTCATTTTCCCAGGCCTCGCGCCTGTAACAGCGGGCAGATGCAGGCGGTGTAAGCCCCGAGCTTGTAACACACGCCCGACCTGGCCAACCCTGTGCACACTGTTATGCGTCCTCGCGCTCGCCAAGCTTGTTCTGGCCTCTGGGCACTCACACTGGCACTCACCTGGAAAGCTCTTCTCCTGCCACAGTGACGACCCTCAGAGAGTCCTGACCACACTGTACCTGCCTGACTCTCCCTCCACTTTACCATCCTGGTCGGCCTCCTTCATGACACCCCATCCCACTGGACTATGATTGTCTGACTGCCACTTCTCTCCTGATATTCCCAGTGCCTGACACAGAACAGGTCCCTAACTGCTAACTGATACTAACAGGATAAAAAAAAAAATCACGGCTGCAGAGAAAGCGCCTCGGTCCCGCAGTAGTTCACAGATAGCACTCACTCCGGCCTCCAGCACAGACGGCTGGGCAGGGCCTTTTATCCAGCCTGTGAAGCAGAGGGTTAAACACCGGCCAGGGCCAGCTGGGGAGGGTCCCGCTACTCACCAACCGGTTCTCTTTGCCTCTTGCTTCGCGGCAGAACTTTACAAGTTCTTTTTCAATAGAGGCTGGTGAGAATGTGACATCTCTGTCTTTGAGGTCCTGGTAAAATCTTCCCAGATAAGAAACACAAACTGGAAAAGAAGAGAAATATACAGCAATCACAAGGCTGCACCCCAACCCACCAGGAGGAAACTCGGCCAGCAATTCTAATAGGAGATACGCAGAGAGGTGAGTTTTCCATCACGGTTTTTCTCCGGTGCCCACAGTTGGAGATCGCAGATCCTGGGTGCTGGGGTCCCCTGAAGCACCGGGGCATAAGCATCACTCCACGCCCCACAAACGACTCGTCCCTGCTTCTTCCATAAACTTCAAGCCGAGACTGATCGTGTCCTTGAAATGGACTCACTGTGGCCTCATAAACGGATAAACTGGAGGCCGATGAGAAAAACGATCCAAATGCTCCTCATTTCCAAATACAATACCGAACTCTGGGGTGCGGCCTCGCAACCCCACCAGACCCAGCACGGTGCCCACGGCGGTGCCCTCGGGGCTCCCGGCCCGGGCCGCTCCCGAGAGCCTCTGTCCAGCGATGGGGAAGGACAAAAGCTCCAGCGCTATCTCAGCATCAGGCTAAGTTTTCAGCACGATCTAGGTCCAACTGCTCGTCAGACCCATGTTTTCCAGGCCCGACGTCTGCCCCTCCTGGGGCGGATCCCGCTGGGACCGGTCGCCGTCGCCGCCGCCCCCGCCCGTTCCAGCCCCGGCTCCTCGGCGGTTCCATCACCCTGCCGCACCT